TGTCTGTCATCTGCAAGCTGTTCACTCGAGTCATCCTGAATAGGATTGGCAGAACACAAGATGAAGAATAACCATGTGAGCAAGCCAGGTTCCACAAGAGAATTCAGCACAATTGACCATATCCACACAATAACCAAGCTCATTGAGGTTTCTCGGGAGTTCAAAATGCCACTCTGTCTTACGTTCTTTGATTTAAAGAAGGCCTTTGATTCTGTTGAGATAGAAGCAGTCATTGAAGCCCTAGCAATCAGGGCATTCATACTCAATACATCAGGATCCTCCATCAGCTGTATTACAGATTCACTACCAGGATCTCACCATTCTACAAAGAAGTGATCATCTATGTCAAGAAAGGGATTTGGCAGGGTGATACCATTTCACCAAAACTCTTTAGAGCCACCCTCAAGAACATCAAGCGAAGACTGGAATGGGAAGGAATGGGAGTGAAGATAGATGGTCAGCAACTACACCACCTCCGCTTCGCTGATGACATTATTCTAATAACACCATGAGTGTGGAAAGGTTGGACTTCAGCTGAATCTCACGAAGACAATGTTTATGAGAAACAGTCTCGTTCCTGACATTCCATTTGCTCTGAATGAAATGCACATCTCCAAATGCAACAGTTCTGTGTACCTAGGTCGAGAAGCCAACATGATGAATGACATGGCACCTGAGTTGTGCAGGAGGAAGAGAGCAACTTGAAACACCTTCCATAGCTAAGAGGACAAAGAACCTTCAGCACCTGGCACATCTCTTCGATTCCACTGTTCTTCGTGCATTGACATACGCCTCAGAGACCTGGGCCCTATAAAAACAGTATAAGAACGCTATTCAGCACTCCCAAAGTGGAATAGAAAGAGCTATGCTTGTAGTATCACGTTTCACTCAAATGAGAAAGAACCCGGAGTTCCGACCTCTGTCGAAAGTCAAGAATCAGGGACACTGTCTCGTTTGCCAAGGCATCGAAAATCAGATGGGCTGGATACGTAATGCGATTTGGAGATGACCGCTGGACTAGAGCTGTTACTGACTGGATTCCACTGGACATCAAATGACCGCGTGGCCAACCACCTACAAGATGGTCAGACTTCTTCGTCAAGACCATGAATGATCAGTTTGAGGCTCTTCTTGTTCCTAGAACGAGCAGATGCCATTGGGCTACACTAGTATGCAACAGGGATGAATGGAGACATTACTGGCACCCGCTCAAGTAAATTGATGATTATCGGGCAGTCAAGTGATCGAGTGATCTTTGGAAATTCTATGTTAACCCATTTGCAATAGAGTCTTTCTTCATGCTTTTATGATCACTATGGCTTTATAAGATAGATTCAAGTTACGTAGTGATGTGGCTCCCAGTTTCTTATTTTTCTGTATGCTTTTGTGCTTCCACACAATGTTTGTCTTTGGCTCCACACAAACTTTTGTGTTTCCACACAAACTTTGTGATGAACTATTCTAAGTCTTTGAGAATGTTGTCTGAATTTGACTAGGGATTGTATTGATTCTATATAGTAGTTTAGATAACATGGTCTTTTGGCAACATTGATTCTTCCAATCCATGCACATGGAATGTTTTTCTATCTCCTAAGATCTTTTTCAATTCATTTCTTGAGAAATGAAAAAACTTTTGAAGCTTTTTTAAAAAAAATAAATTATTTACTGAATCACCATGAGAAAATTTACAAAGCTTTCAGGTTTAAGTCTCACTCATACAATGATCAAACACCCATCCCTTCACCAGTGCACATTTTTCACCACCAAGAACCCCAATATACCCTCCTTCCCACCTCCCAATGCCTGTGAGGCAGATGATTTCTAATTAACTCTTTCTCTACTTTGATTACATTCATTATTTTGACAAAAGATGCACCATTATTATTTGGAATTTCTTCCCAACAATCAGAACTGCTGAAAGGCATTGTGAAATAATTTGCTTTCTATTGCTGGTTATGCTGACCATATCAGGTAGTGCTTTTGGATTTCTGATATCTTACTAATTAAGTCTGGAGGGATTTCTGCCAAAAGATGGGTAATTACGAGAATGGTTTGTGTGCATCTGGGGCCATAGCCGTGCTGGAGAGCCCCTTGGAGGAGGCAACTCGTGGAAGGACATGCTGGTTCTGCTGCCCATCCCATGAGGCTGCAGTTGCCCCATCACTGCCAGCTCATACCTGGCTGTCCAAAAAGCTCTGAGGTGGTGGCCACTGTGCTGCCAGGGTGGAAAAAGGTGGAAGACACAGACACCCTTTCCCTCCCGGGGGGAGGTGGGCGGAGCGGGCACAACGCCTTAGTTTAACACATGGTCCACTCACATTTCTGCCACAAGCTGCTGAGTTCTGAATTAGGTCCGTGTGCCTCGGGGGCCATGGCCATGCCATAGAGCCACTTGTGGGAGGCAACTCGTAGTCTCAGTAGGGCGTGAAGCTAGTGTTTTGAAGTTTTAATGATATAGGTCTCTCACCTCTTTTCCTCAGTTGATTTCTAGGTTGTTGATGATTTTGGACACTATTTTAAATGACATATACTTTTTTTATTTCTTTCTCCTCTGATTCATTACTTGCATGTAGGAGTACAATCAATTTTTGTGTATTGACTTTGTAGCTGATCACTTTGCAAAAGCTCCTATTTATTACTTATTGGAGGTTTTGAGTTGATTTTTTACTGTTTTCAATGTATATCATCATATTGTCTGCAAATAGACATAATTTGATTTCCTCTTTTCCAATTTGTATTCCTTTGATTTCCTTTTATTGCCTGATAGCTGCCTTTAGTAACTTTTAAGCATATGAAGCATATGGTACAGTATTTTGTTAATTATACAATCCATGCATACAATTGACCTACAGATCTTTTTTTTCTTTTTGGGTCACACCAGCGATACACTGGGTTTACTTTTTGCTCATGCACTCAGGAATTACACCTGGTGGTGCTTGGGGACCATATGAGATGTGGGGAATCGAACCCAGGTCAGTTGGGTGCAAGGCAAATGTCCTACCCACTGTGCTATCACTCCAGTCCCTAGAGATCATTTTTAAACTGGAAGTTTTACCCATTGATCAACATCCCTCTATTTCTCTCACTCTAATTTTTACATCCTACTCCCCATTTAAGTGAGTTTGGATTTTTTAATTTCCACGTTTAGTTAGACCACACAGTGTATGTTTAACTTTGCAAAGTGTTTCACAGAGTATAAAGCCCGTATGATCTAGCCATATTGTTGCAAAAGGTAGCATTTTCTTATTGCATAACTGTTTTATATACTTACACATAAAACAGTTTCTTTGACTATCTTTTAGTAGAACAATACATATCTTGACTGTGTGACTAATCCTGCGATAAATTTGGAAGATGTATCCTGCTCCAGTTCCACCTGTGGCCTGAATGTGTGGTCCACTGAGCCCAGGCAAGGAGTAATCCCTCAGAATAGCTGAGTGCCACCCCTCACTCCCTGTCACTTCAAAACAAAAACAAAAAGAACAAAGTTCCACCATTTATTTACCAACACTTGTAACTTTTTTTTTTTAAGTAGAGCTCTACTAACAGATTTGGGATAATGGTGTATGAAACTTTTAATTCATGAATTGGCATTTCTTATGCCCTCTTTGAAAAAATGTCTATTCATTTCCTCTATAAAATTTATGTATTAATGCAGTGATGTGTAGAGTTAGTTTCAACTTTTTGTTAAGATAAATGACCTTTCTTATTTCATCTCATCAAATGTTTTGTGATTAGTTCATTTGCAAACAATTATAACTAATTTTAATGCATCGATTGGGTAATTAAGAGCAACATGATAGCCCCACTGATGAAATATGTTGATAGTATAATTGTGGGTAAAAAAAGACTATGACCAAATATATGGAAAGTTTATGTATTTTATATAAAATTTTTCAGTTAATGGAAAAATTAAGTCTACTAGTTAAAAATAAGTGACTTGCCTATAAAAATTTCTGGTATATGACTCATATTTCTTGCAGAATTCTCACTGATTTTAAAAATGGGTCTCTATAAGTAAAACTTTTAAGCAGACATTTTGAAATATTTGATTTATGCTTTTATATGTATGTACTATTTTATTTCAAACTGCAACTAACATCTCCTTTGGCCAAATGGAAAGGTAGGTCTTTAAAAGGACAGCTAGAAGAATGATGAGAGAATTAAGGTTGATTCTTAATACAAACACACAAGACAGTACACTTGTGTTCATATATTCTCTACTGAATCATCACTTCGTGATTACTGTCTGTAATAAAAGCATAAATTACCCAAGTAAAAGAAATTTTATAGGATTGGAAATGTGACTTGGTGGTAAAGTATAATATGTTGCATATATGAAGCCCACAGAGTTTGTGTCTGTGGAAGCAAAATATTATATATATTATACACATATATAAAATATATAAATTATATAAAAAGCTTATATACAGAAGTTTGAAATAAATTTAGTCAAATTTTGAACTATTGTAAGTTAGGTTTTAATTTCATAGTTGAATAAAACATATAATTAATTGCAATTGCAAATTGCCTCTTTCAAAATAAATATTCATAAGTGTTGAATATCTCTCTTTTACTCTGACTTCATCTTCTTGCATTTTCAGCCTCTCATATAAAAATGATCACTCTCCTGATTTGAGAGCTCACCATTCAATACATTAATTTACCATTATATTTTAACCAAAATTATCATAAAAGATATATGCTACAGTATAGTTTTATGCAATATTTTATTTCAACTACTTCACTGAACTTCATGTTCTCTGTTCTAAGAGAAAGGACTTATTATTTATTAATAAACCAAGAGTGGTAATAGAGTTGAATTGTAGTTCTAAAAGTGGTAATCTTATGATGCTATGAAAAGATTTTATAGGAATTAGATTTTTTATTCTGATTTCTGTCTATTATTCTAGTATCATGAGCAAACAAGCTTTGTATACATACAGGTTTATTTTTGTAAGTTGATAAAATTACTGAGAACAATATCCTATTTTTCATAGATGTTTCATGGAACCGTCACAGACGAGCTGACACATCATGAAAAATGGCGTAAATATAATGAAAATGTTGTAGAAGAAAAGAAAAATTTTGTTTTTGTGAAATTTAATGGCCTTCAGCTAAAATCTATGGAAAATCTGCAGTCTTGTGTCTCTATAAAAGTATGCATCTTCTCAAACAATTTTATTACAGATATTCACCCACTTCAAAATTGTAAACAATTAGTGAAACTTGATCTCCATGGAAATCAGGTAACCAGTAGATAAAATGATATTTAATTTGCTTAAATGCAATGCTGTCCATTGTAATATTTGTACTTTATATATAACATATATAACAAAGATACACTTTAATAAAAAATATAGTGTATGTAAAGAAAATTTCAAATGTAGGTAAAAATTTACATTAAAATATATGAAACTATTCTGTGATTTAACTAATTCTTTAATGCAGAATGTGGATTAAGGAGATGTTGTAATAGCACTGTTGCACTGTCCTTCCGTTGTTCATTGATTTGCTTGAGTGGGCCCAGTAATGTCTCCATTGTGAGTCTTGTTGTTAATGTTTTTGGCATATTGAATACACCAGGGGGTAGCTTGCCAGGTTCTGCCGTGCAGGTGGGTTTCTCTCAGTAGCTTGCTGGGCTCTCTGAGAGTGGCAGAGGAATATGAACCCGGGTCGCCCAGGTCAGCCGCGTGCAAGACAAACGTCCTACCCGCTGTGCTATCACTCCAGCCCTGACAAACTTGATTATTTATCTTCATGTAAGGGATGTTATGAGTGATACAGTGATTTTGATGATGGTTATGTCTAGTTAACCTCTTTGTGACACAATTGCAATTTGTTTCCCTTATGGTGAGACCTTTAAAACATTGTCTTAAAAAATTTAAAATATGAGGTATACTTATTACACCTATTAAAAGTGCAAATGTACAATGAAGTGTTAGTAACTACAGCCACCATACTACACATATCTCTAATATTTACTTCGTAATTAAAAGTATTTACCTTTGATAGTTTTCACCCATTCATACACAACACAACCCATACCTCTGACAATGATGAATTTTTTTATTCTGTATGAGTTTGTTTTTATATTAGATACCACTGATAAATGAGATTATATTGTATTTGTTGGGCAGAGCCTGGCAAGCTCCCCAGGTTGTATTCAATGTGCCAAAAGCAGTAACAGTAGCAGGTCTCATTCCTCTGACCCTGATAGAGCCTCCAGTATGGCAGCATTGGGAAAGATGAGTAAGGAGAGGGTGCTTCAATCTCAGGGCTGGGACGAATAGAGACATTACTGGTGCCAGCTCAAGTAAATCGATGAACAACGGGATGACGGTGATATTGTATGTGTATTTGAGCTATTTCATTTAGTATAGTACCCTCAGGATCCATTCATGTTGTCATAAATGACAAAAATTTCCTTCTTTTATAACTGAATACTATCTGACGATTTAAAACATACATACATGTACATGCATTTTTACTTTCTTTGCCAAGACTTGATTTTTTTTTAAAAATAGAAGTTTTGATGTTGTATCTCATTGAGTTTTGATTTGTATATTCCAATGACCAGTAATACAAAGCACAATCTCATGTATCTGTGAGCTATCTCTGCATTTTCCTTTGAAAATGACTTCACAACTTTTTCCTGCATTTAATTATGTTTTCTAGTTATTTTGAGTGGTTCTTTATATATTTTGGGGATTAAATCCTTAGCATGTTTGTAATTTGCACATATTTTATTCTATTACTTATATTCTTTTCATTCTGTTAAAGTTTCTTTGTTCTGCAGTTTTTACCTGATTTTTGCTGTTGTTCTGACATAAAATTTTAAAAATAATTTTCAAAATTAAAAATATACTATATGATTTACTGCTCGAGCGGGCCCAGTAATGTCTCCATTGGAGACTTTGTTGTTACTGTGTTTGGCATATCGAATACGTCACGGGGAGCTTGAAAATCTTGTAGTTTTGATGTCATATTTTAAGTTTTAACTCCATTTTGTATTAATATCGTAAAAACTTGTAAGATATATCCTTATCTTATTCTTTTGCCTGAGAGATGGTCTGTTTCTCATTGTACATTCTGGCTTCTTTTTGTCATGAATTTATTGACCATCAATTTGTATTTTGTTTCATTGATCTATGTGTCTGTTGATATTATTAATGTTATGTTATTTTGACTGCTATAGTTTTCTAATATAGTCAGAGATAGGAGGTATAATGACTGCAGGCTCCAATCTTTTTCTTAGGATTATTTTTGGAAATTTCCGTTTTGTTTTACTTTGTCTTGCAGTTTCATACAAATTTGAGGTTTGATGTTCTATCTCTGTGAAAAGCATGTCATTGGGATATTGATAGGGCTTTCTTTCTTCGACTAATTTAGTAATATGTAAATTTTAACACCATTTCTTTGAAATTCACAAGAATGGAACATCTCTCTAGTCCTTTTTTTTTAATTGAGCCACCATGAGATACAATTACATAGCTTTCATGTTTAAGATTCAGCTATACAACAATTGATCACCCATCCCCCCACCAGTGCAAACTTTCCACCACCAATGTCCCCAATACCTCCCCCACTTCCATCCTGTTCCTTACCCTGCCTCTATGGCACACAATTGCTCAGCTACTCTCTCTGCTTTTGGACATTATATTTTGCTCAAATTTTGCCACCACCATTCAAGCCTGCCTTCCAGCGACAGACAATAGATCATTTCTTTTCCATTGCTCACCTTGCATATCATGAAAGGTCGCACGGCCATGCACTTCTGAGATTCTAAATTATAAATGGTTCAGTTCCAGAGTCATCTCTGTAGGGAACTGTTCCAACGCGGTTTGGAGAATTCCTCCTGACACCCACACACTGGAGCCTTGCTTGTAGAAGCTCATGGTCGTCAGGATTCCATATGGAGAAGGTGGGAAGACTGCACCAGCTCCATCTGGTGCATCCAGGTGAAATTGGCTCAGTATGGGACCCAGAGAGATCTCCAATCCTGTGGTGCCCTCCAGGACTCGTCGCTACTGTGTGCCTCTCTATTTCTTTCTCTTCTTCAATTACTGTCATCCATCTCTTCTGGTTTAAATTGTACATATTTTTCACCTTGATTAATTTTACCATTATGCATTTTATTCCTTTAGTTATAATTTAAAATGAGATAATTTATGAAAATTTCTCTACTAGTAAATCATTAGTGTATTTAAATGTAAAAAGTTCTTTTTTTAGTTTTGGGGACATACCTGACATTGGTTGGGGGCCACTCCAGGCTCAGTGCCTGGGCCCAGTGTTCAGTGCACATTTAACTATCCCTAGCTCCTATAACAGTTCTTACATATTTATTTTGTTTCCTGTAATTTGATAAATTTATTAGTTCTATGTCCCTTTTTAATTGGTATATATTACATTGAGGAATGACATATATTATATTGAGGTATAGTTTCTTTGGGCTGGAGCGAGAGCACAGCAGTAGGGCGTTTGCCTTGTGTGCAGCCAGCCCGGCCGAGCCGGGTTTGATGCCTCCACCCCTCTCAGAGAGCCCAGCAAGCTACCAAGAGTATCTCGCCTGCACGGTAAAGCCTGGCAAGCTACCCGTGATGTATTCAATATGCCAAACACAGTAAGAACAAATCTCAAAATGGAGACATTACTGGGACTGCTCGAGCAAATCGACAAACAACGGGATGACAGTGACAGTGACATGGTTTCTTCATATTCAGTTTGTTGAAAGTTTCTATCAGTATATTGAACTTTTTCAAATTCCTTTTCTTTAGAGATATTAGTTTTATCTTCATTTTGTAAATATTGTGTATAACATTAAGTAGACTCCTTAAATCTTTAAGAAAAGTAATTTAAAAGGTTTAAACAGACTGTTATAAAGGGAATCTTGCTGAATAAAATTATACAATAATTTTCTGAATAAACTCTAACTTATTCCAGTTTTTTGGTGTACTATTTTTTTTTAATCATTATCATTTGAGTAATTAAACATTCTGGTTTTGTGGTTAGTGAGAAATTTGTCATTTAAGGAAATACTGAATTTCTTCGTTTTTTTTGACAGATTTGTGCTTTTTATTTTTTATTTGAAATACTGAATTTCAGCAGATTAAATATATGTTTTTTATTCATGTAAATTTAAATAAAATTGATATTTGAATTTAACTATAATTGTCATCATTTGTATTAATATTTCAGATAAAGAACCTACCAAATGCAGAATTTTGGAGTGGATTCAAGAATCTAAAACTCCTTTTTCTTCATGACAATGGGATTACGAAATTAAAGAATATATGTGCATTGTCTGCCTGTCCAAGCCTTATTGCCCTCACTTTGTTTGATTGTCCAGTGAGCCTTAAAAAAGGATATAGACATGTTGTTGTTAACAGCATCTTGCCCCTCAAAGCACTGGATTATTACATCATTTCTGATGAAGAAATAGTTCAGAATTGGCAACTTCCTGAAAGATTTAAGACATATAATATCCGACTGTTCTTTAATTTCTGCCCTGCTTTGAAAAAGGTAATTGTTTTTATTACAATTTCATTTTAAATAAGTTTGTAGAACTGAATATTTAGATTCTGCATTCTATACTGCAAAATGTTATTTTGGCATGTATAAGATATAGTAGTATCAAGTTACAAATATTTATTTATTTATTTTTTTAAATGTAAATATTCTTATTTTGGGATTACAACTAATGATGCTCAGTTTTATGTTGTGGAAAGAACAAATGGAACCAATGAGAATAACAGATCCCAAGTAATAAGAAGGGAAACATTAGTAGTCATTTAGATTAAGGAAAAAAGAGTGTCATTAATAATCATTTAGATGAAGGGAAAAATCAATTAATAAATGGAGTGATTAATACATTTCTTAAATGGTTATGAAAAATTATTACTGATACATAAGAACTTTGAAATGTTGGGACAGAATGAGAACAGGTAAGGCACTTGATTTTGATCTCCAACAGTCCATATGGTCCCCTGAGTGATCCCCTAAAGTGATCACTGAGCACAGAACCAGGAGTAAGTCCTGAGCACCATGAGGGTTGGCCCAATTTAAAAAAAAACAGACAAGTAAACTAAAATAATTTTGAAATGTTCTTTTTGTTAGTGAAAAGGTTATTTATTTTAGAGATTTATTAGCTTTCAAGAGCAGAAATATAATTGTGAATTGTAGAAATAGTTTCAAAATTTATTGACAAATTTTAATTACATATACTATTTAAATAGTATTTCTTTTATATTGCTTTCACTGAAAGATTTTATTTATATTTAGAAACAAATCAGTGTTTGACAAAGAGTAAATTAAAATCTAGGGGGGAGGGTATTATTATATAATATTTTAAATATATTTAAGAATACATGTTTGTGCATATCATTTAGTATAAGAAACATCTTTGTGCATATCATTTAGTATAAGAATGTTATAAATACTTAAAAATAATGAACTTTACTATAACTTACACTTTTTAATTTAATATTATTCTATGAATGCATAAATTAAAGAAGTGTATGTTCATGCCAAAAGAAACATCACAATTAAAATCTATGTCCTAAACATAATAAAACTATGAAGAATGATTCTTTTTTTAATTAAGTATCATGTAATTCATAGAACTTTATTTTGGGAGTGTCAAAATTTTTTTTTTACAGACTATGAGCTTCTTTATATGCAGCCAGTTGCTTAGGTAGGAAAAAGATTAGATGGTAGAAATAAAAACCACATAGCAACTAAATCTGTTCAATTTATGTCAGAAAAACATTAGTTCGTCCAGATTTTATATCTGAAAGACTTCGATCACTAGTACCAGAAAATTTGGCTACCATTAGACAGTAGAGAATCTGATATGTGTGGGGTTTTTTGCTTTTCTATTTTTTTTGGTGTTGAGGGATCACAGCTGGCAATGATCAGGGGTTACTCCTCATTTGGCACTCAGGAATTACTTCTGGCGATGCTCTGGGAACTATATGGAATGCAGGATATCGAACCCAGTTTGACCCTGTGCTGGCAAACGCACTCCTTCCTGTTCAATCACTCTGGCCTCTATGAATGTTTTTAATTGACCAAATCGTATATAAACCAATATTTTATTAATAGGAAAAGAAGGAATACAGATTCTTGGAAGGCAACAAACACATTTTTTGAAAATGAAGGATTATTTTATTAATGAAAATTATTATGGATTATAAAAAGTACAAGAAGGGAAACATACACGACATTGGCAACTATCGCCCAATCTGCCCATTTTCTGTCATCTACAAGCTATTCACTCAAGTCATCCTGAATAGGATTGGCAGAACACTAGATGAAGGACAACCATGCGAGCAAGCCGTGTTCCACAAAGGATTCAGCACCATCGACCGTATACACACAACAACCAAGCTCATTGAGGTTTCTCGGGAGTTCAAAATGCTGCTCTGTCTAACATTCATTGATTTAAAGAAGGCCTTTGATTCTGTTGAGATGGAAGCGGTCATTGAAGCCCTAGCCAAACAGGGTGTTCAAACTCAATTCATCAGGATCCTTCATGAGCTGTATTATGGATTCACTACCAGGATCGCACCATTCTACAAAGAAATAATCATTGATGTCAAGAGAGGGGCTCGGCAGGGTGATACCATTTCACTGAAACTCTTCAGTGCCACTCTCAACAACATCATGCGTCGACTGGAATGGGAAGGAATGGGAGTGAAGATAGATGGTCGGCAACTACAACACCTCTGCTTTGCTGGTGACATTGTTCTAATAACACCAAACATTAGCCAAGTGGCACAAATGCTGGTTGACTTGGACCGTGAGTGTGGAAAGGTCGACTACAGCTGAATCTTATGAAGACAATGTTTATGAGAAAAAGCCTCGTTCCTGATGCTCCATTCGCTTTCAATGGAACAACCACCTCTGAATGCAACAGTTATGTGTACCTAGGTTGCGAAGTCAACATGATGAATGACCTGGCACCTGAACTACTCAGGAGGAAGAGAGCAGCTAGGAACACCATCAAGAGCGTCGAAGAGATAGCTAAAAGGACGAAGAACCTCCATCTCTGGGCACATCTCTTCTATTCCACTGTTCTTCCTGCATTAACATACTCCTCAGAGACCTGGCTCCTACACAAACAGCATGAGAACGCTATTCGGGTCTTTCAAAGAGGAATTGAAAGAGCTATGCTTGGAGTATCACGTTTCACTCAAATGAGTGAAAGAATACAGAGTTCGGACCTCCCTCAACAATCAAGAATCAGGGACGCTGTCTCCTTTGCCAAGGCGTCAAAAATCAGATGGGCTGGACACGTAATGAGATTTAGATATGACTGCTGGACTAGAGCCGGTACCAACTGAATTCCACGGGAGGTCAAAAGACCACGTGGCCGCCCACCTACCAGATGGTTAGACTTCTTCATCAAGATCATGAATGATCGGTTTGAGGCTCTTAGTGTTCCTAGAATGAACAGATGCTATTGGGCTACACTAGCATGCGACAGAGACAAATGGAGACGTTACTGGCGCCCACTCAAGCAAATCGACGATTAACGGGAAGTCAAGTGATCAAGTGATTATGGATTATTATGTTAATGAAAAATGTTTATCCTAAACATTTGGCATCTGTTTGTACTTTTTTAAAATTTATTTTTGGGACCTTCAAAGTGATGTTTAGAAGGTTCTGGGGGCACTGTAATTTGTTTTCATCCAAGCAGGCAGCAGTTCAATGCAAGGACTCTTTTGTGTTATCTCTTGGCCCCATATTCTGTTCTTAATTTCAATTAAATATCAAAATATAAAATATATAAATGATTAATATACAATTACAAGAGAAATATTTTAAACTATTTTTATTGAGGCATTGGAGTTTACAGTACTATTAATCGCTTGTTTTACATATAGATCGTTCCAACTTCAGATTCATTACGAGAGAATCGTGTCCAGCCCCCAGTGACCCAAGGACCCTTTCCAAACCCATCCCATTATGAAAGCTGTTTGATAAATAAAATCTTCAGCTCCCATCCCATACCAATCCCCACTGACAATCTGTTGTGCTCTTACTATGTTTTTTATCCTGAAATTTGTGAGCTCACTCTCTTGTCTACTCTCTCTCTCTTTCATTCCCGCTCTTGCTCTCTTACTCTCTTTCATTCTCACTCTTGCTCTTTGTCCATCTCATTTTTGGTGGAGGTGATGGTGGTGACATGAACATAGATGAATAGAGTTAATTTCCTGAAATTAAAATTGTAAATAACAGATAGCTCAATAGATTGTTTTGCAAAAACGAATTTTTTTAAAGTATATAAATTTACTTGCCAAGCTCTGCCGTGCAGGTGGGGCACTCTCGGCAGCTTGCCAGTATCTCCACAAGAGGTAGAGGCTTTTAGGGCTGCCTCTAATAGTCCTTACAGGTGTTCCAATGGTTCAAACTATATTTGAATCCCATCAAGTATGGTACAGTAATCTCGTATTAAGTGTATTATGTGTCGTGTGGCTGCTTTGTGGCCACGTGGTCTAGAAAGCATTCTGGAGCATGGCGGCGGCTGGGTACTGGAGATAGGGGAGATAGTGGAGATCTGCCGGGCTGCTGGGAGCAGGCAGAGGATTTCTGTTCCCGGGTCTGTTGAGCCTGGAGTTCATGGTTGCAGAGTTCTACTTCCCTGGTTCTGTGGGGCTTCACTCATGTGTGAGTCTCAACCCGAGTGTCCAGAAAGCATCCTGGAGCATGGCGGTGGCTGCGTAGTGGAGGTAGTGGAGGTCTGCTGGGCTGCTGGGAGCAGGCAGAGGATCTCTGTTCCCGAGCCTGGCAAGCTATCCATGGTGTATTTGATATGCCAAAACCAGTAAATACAATGGGTCTCATTCCCCTGACCCTGAAAGAGCCACCAATATGGCAGCATTAAAAAGGATGAGGAAGGAGAGGCTGATAAAATCTCAGGGTCAAACTAGTCTGCCAAAATGAAGAAGGACAAAAATGACTTCCATCGAGGACCTGATGGTGCAAGCGCGAAAGATCAACTACGACATCACTGGTCTGACCGAGACGAGAAGGCGTCAATCACATCATGCAATTTTCAGCACTGGAAAAGAGCTGCTCCTTGGAACAAGCGACAAAAGAGGCATTGGCGGTGTCGGTGTCCTTGTCAACATGAACTTGGCCATAAACATTGATTCATTTGAATGCTTAACAACCTGAATCAGATTATTACTCTTGAATAGATGTTGCTCACTGCCAGCAGTTTCTGTCTTCGTTGCCTATGCACCAACACCCAATTATGACAGGAGAAATTGAAAAGTTCTACATGGAGCTGGAGAAGTTCTTTAAAGAAGACCACACCTTCTATAAGATCATTGTGGGTAATTTTAATGCCCTGATAGGACCGAGAAGACCATTCATGGTAACTCACAATTCCAGAAGGCTGAATCTAAACATTGGACATGGAGTCTGCCGGTGGACTGTTCCACAACGAAATTGACCACATCATATTCAATTGACAGTCTTGCCTGACCAATGTTACTGTTGTCCCAAAATTCCAAATGAGAACGGACCACCATCTCCTTCGTGCAAAATTCTACTTCACAGCGTGGGGAGAAAGGGCTGCAAAGTTAAGAAGAGAACTCCCAGAATGACCACCAGCTGCGAGCTCTTTGGCACTATTGCGGCAACATGGGAAGATGCTATCACTGACAACGTGGACGAGGAATACGATGGACTGGTTCAGCACCTCCATCATTGTGCAAAGAACGCCAAGAGAGAGATAACCACAAAAAGACACCTGTCTTTGAAAACTCTCGAGCTCATTCACCAATGTGGCTTGGAGCAAGCCTCAGGAAACCTCAAGCAAATATCCGAGCCAGCAAAGAAGTGCAGAGACGCAATAAAGGAAGACCTCCAAGAGAGAAGAAGCTGGGAAAAGCATTCGCAATGACCACCTGTCCTTCGCCAACTACAAGACCAAAATAAGTGCCCTCTGACGTCCTGATGGATCTATCACATCATCCAGAAGGGCAACAGAGAAGATTATCCATGACTTCTATCCGGATCTCTTCGATAGCCATATCCACCTGCCCACATACCAAATTCCGCAGGATGCATATGTCGTCCACAATGTTCTCCCTTCCAAAATCTGACACGCCATTTCATTGGTAAAGAAGTGAACAGAACCCAGACCAGACAAGGTCAGACCCGAACACCCGAAGAACCTGCCGTCAGGACTCATCAATACAATGCCTCGGCTCTTCACACACTACCTGTCTGAATGCAAGTTTCCGTCCCAATGGAAAACCAGCATGACTGTACTACTGTACAAGAAAGGACACATGCACGATATTGGCAACTATCGCCCAATCTGCCTGTTGTCTGTCGTCAACAGGCAGTTCACTCAAGTCATCCTTAATAGGATTGGCAGAACACTAACTAGATGAAGGAAAACCATGCGAGCCAGTCAGGTTCCCCAAAGGATTCAGCATGATCAATCATATCCACACGATAAACAGGCTCATTGAGGTTTCTTGGGAGTTTAAGATGCCACTGTGTATAACGTTCATTGATTTAAAGAAGGCCTTTGATTCTGTTGAGATGAAAGCATTCATCGAAGCCCTAGCCAATCAGGGCATTCAAACTCAATACATCAGGATCCTCAGTGAGCTGTATTGAGGATTCACTACTAGGATCTCACCATTCTACAGAGAGGTGATCATTGATGTCAAGAGAGAGGTTCGGCAGGGTGATGCCATTTCACTGAAATTCTTCAGTGCCACCCTCAAGAACGTCATGTGACGACTGGAATGGGAAGGTATGGAAGTGAAACTAGAAGGTTGGCAACTACACCATCTCTGCTTCGCTGATTACATCATTCTAATAACTCCAAACATCAGCCAAGCGGCACAAATGCTGGTCTACTTTGACTGTGAGTGTGGAAAGGTCAAACTACAGCTAAATCTCACAAAGACAATTTTTATGAGAAATGGTCTCGTTCCTGACATTCCATTTGCTCTCAACGGGACGAACATCTCCGAATGCAACAGTTATGTGTACCTAGGTCGAGAAGTCAACATGATGAATGACCTGGCACCTGAGTTGCACAGGAAGGAGAGAGCAGCTTGGAACACATTTAAGAGCGTTAAAGAAATACCTAAGAGGACGAAGAACCTTTGGCTCTGGGCACATCTTTTAGACTCCACTATTCTCCCTGCATTAACATATGACTCAGAGACCTTGGCCCTAAGAAAACAGGATGAGAACACTATTCGGGTCTCCCAAAGAGGAATCAAAAGAGCTATGCTTGGAGTTTCATGCTTCATTAAATAAAACTAAGAATCCGGAGTTCTGACCTCCATCGACAATCAAGAATCAGGGATGCTATCTAGTTTGCTAAGGCATCGAAAATCAGATGGCCTGGACACGCAATGAGATTTGGAGATGACTGCTGGACTAGAGCCATTACCAACTGGATTCCATGGGACTTCAAAATATCTCGTGGCCACCCATCTATGAGATGGTCAGGCTTCTTCATCAAGACTCTGAATGATCAGTTTGAAGCTCTTCGTGTTCCTAGAATGAGTAGACGCCATTAGGCTACATTAGATCATGGCAGGGATGAATGGAGATGTTATTGGCACCCACTCGAGCAAATTGATGAGTAACGGGATGTCAAGTGATCAATGATGTAAATTTAACGAATGTTTGTATAATGCAGTGCTAATACAGTTTAGAGTTTATGTGAAATAGTAAATGTTGAAAATGTAGAATTTAGGAATTGTGAAAGAATGAAAAATTATTAAGCGAGAAATCTTAATTGGCCCATAAAAGTGCAAAGTGTTTTATCCTAAGAAATAGAATATTGTATTCATATTAACACTATTTATATAATACACTATAGATACTGCTTTTAAGTCACTGCATTAATAAGTAAAATATTGTAAGAAAAATATTTGTGGGTGTAGAAAAACCTGGAGACTTTGTTGTTACTGTGTCTGGCATATCAAATACTCTCGGTAGCTTGCTGGGCTCTCTGAGAGGGGCGGAGGAATCGAACTTGGGTCGGCCATGTTGGCCGCTTGTAAGGCGAACGCCCTACCGCTGTGCTATCGCTCCAGAAAAACCTGATTAGATGTAGAGCATTCAATATATATGAGACATTAATTTATTAATTGAAAATGTGTATAATCTCATAACAAGTTAGGAGTAAACAGACCTTTCTTAATCTATCACTATTACTATCAATCACTATCACTATCACTATCACTATCACCCCGTTGTTCATTGATTTGCTCGAGCGGACGCCAGTAATGCCTCCATTTGTCCCTGTCACTGCTAGTGTAGCCTGGTGGCATATTCGGGGCTTTTTCAGGGTCAGGGGAATGAGGAACACCATTGTTACTGTTTTTGGCATATCAAGTACACCACAGGTAGCTTGCCAGAGTACCTGTGGCATACTCTATACGCTGCACAGGCAGGATACTCTTGGTAGCTTGCCGGGCTCTCTGAGATGGATGGTGGCTTTGGGGACAGCCTCTAATCACCTTTATAGGTGTTCCCAGTCAGGCATATATGCGGAAGCTTGATTTTATAGTCTCTGGATCTTGGCCATTAAGAGGGTTACACGGCAATTGGTGGGTGTAACTTTCTAGCTACTGTAAATGGGGGATCTGTGTGAAGGAGGCTCAGTCCCGATCAGAGCATACTTGGAGATCTCAGCCCCGGGTCCCGCACACCTGGGTTCCTCTGCCAGTTCCTTCATGCATGAGGCTTGTCCTAGCATGTGGAGAGTGGTGTCAGCATGGCTGTGGCTGGGTCCCAAAGGTCTTCAGCTGCCAGGGCTCTTCTCAGGGCAGAGACGGAAACTCAACCCGCTCTCCTCCAAGGAGCCCCAGTGAGGACAGCCAGTCCGGGGACAGGAGACACTGTTGTTCTCCTCCGGGAGCTTGGTTTTATAGTCTCTGGATCTTGGCTGTTGATGGGGTTACATGGCAGTTGTTGGGTGTAACTGTCTAGCTTCTGGAAGATGGGGGATCTGGGTGGAGAAGACCCAGTCCCAATCCGAGCAGGCTTGGAGATCTCAGTAGATCTTAATCTAGTAGAATGTAATAATAAGCAACATGAGTGAATGGCATATTCAGTGCCAAATGCTGGAAATGTCTTTCCTGTTCTGTAAATACTTCCTTTAAAGCTTGCAAGACTAGTTTCAAGGCTATGCATTTCTTATGCTATTATCTAGCTATGAAATTCTATGCCTGCTTCTACATGATATATTTATATCTTAAATCATATATACCATAATTATCTAAATTATTACACATTATGAACTAACAAACAGAAATCTAAAGTAGGTCAGACATTTTTAGAGGATTATTCATAATAAGCAATACAAAATAAATTATCTTTAGGGCCTGCTATTGGCCAGGTGTGAGTGGTGGTTGGGATAATTAGAAATAATGATGGTGGGAAGGTGTAATTTTGGTGTGATTGGTGTTGGAATATTGAATTTGAACAACTTACTTGAATAAGCTGAACAATAATTTGAACAATTATTGTGAACAACTTTATAAAAATAAAGTAAAAAAAAGCAGATCCCAGGGAAACTGATTAGGTCAATCAACCCCCAAAGTGGTAAATTTTGTTTCCGTTTGGCTGACTTATTTTTTTCTTTTATATGTTTTAAATTCTGAAGTAGAAGAAACTAGTAACTTAGAATGATCAAAGGGTACAAACAAAGCAAGTACTAATATAACTAAAAGGAGCAAAATATCTCTGCAAAATATGTAGAAAGCTTTATCTAAATAGAAAACTTTTAGGCAATACTTGATTGTAAATGTAGAAAAATATGTAGAAAAAATACATCTACCATGCTAGCAAAAACAAGCTTAACATGTCTTTTGAAGATAACAACATAAAATATAAACAATTGATTATATTTTCTCGGTACAGGGATCAACTTATGAAAATGAAATGGATAATATTAAATATATTATTTCAAATATTGATAGAATTCTGGCTCATAATTCACCAATTTTGATTCTTCAAAGATATGTGCGTGGTTACTTGGTAAGAAAAGCTTTAAGGTATGTTATGATTTTATTTATTATTTATTGTTAAATTATGTTAAAAAGCTTACATCAAGAGTTATCCAATAATACTCATTTTTATATTCCATCTCATAGGGTTTTTGTATAGTATTTGAGCTAACTTTAAGAATATGTGTCAAAAATTATAGTAAAATACTATTTTGAATAGTCATTGTCACTGTCCTCCCGTTGTTCATAGATTTGATCGAGCAGGCCCAGTAAGATCTCCATTGGAGACTTTGTTGTTACTGTGTTTGGCATATCGAATACATCACGGGTAGCTTGCCAGGCTCTGCCGTGTGGGCGAGATACTCTCAGTAGCTTTCCGGGCTCTCTGAGAGGGGCGGAGGACTCGAACTCGGGTCGGCCCTGTTGGCTGCATGCAAGGCCCTACCTGCTGTGCTATCGCTCCAGCCCATTTTTTTTTAATAGTATTCAATGCTTTTCTATTTTTTGTGCCTCTAATATTTTAAGTTGATCATGTGAAAAGCACATAGCACCTGGAAAATATTCTTGCTAGCTGCTTTTATTTAAACACAATTTATTATTATTGTTATCAGTTACTGTTATTGGTTTGGGGGCCACACCTGGCTATGCTCGGGGTTTACTTCTGGCTCTGCACTCAGGAATCACTCATGACTGTGATTCCATATGGGACCATATGGATGCCAGGGATTGAATGTGGGTTGGTTATGTGCAAGGCAGGAACCTTACCCTTATGCTCTCTCTCCAGCCCACTTTTATAAGTCTCACAATTTTTTGTGAGATGTTACTGGTGCCTGCTCGAGCAAGTCGATAAACAATGGGAGGACAGTGCTAAAATTATTATTATTATTATTCTCTACATTATTTGACTCCAGGAGAACTGTCTTTCTTTGATTTTCATTCTCACTAATTAATTACATATAACACATATTCAGAGTAATCTTTCACAATATAAACCTAATTTTATTTATCAACTTAAAATTTTCCAATATTTTTTGTTTGTTTAGGGAAAAACTGTGGCTTACATATGTGTATATCTGATATACTTGAGTTGTCATAAGCATCTACCAGCTCTTTTTCAGTATCTTGCTTAATAATCTATATTTCCATATGTACTGTTACTTTAGCATATAACAGAGTTGCTTGATGTGTGTAAAGAAAGAATTACTGAATATTCATCAATTCATTTATTGATGAATTTATCAATAAGTGAAGAGACTGTTAAAGTTAAAATCAAAAAGGTGCTTACGGTTTCATCTATATGAAGTAATTTTTAGGAAAACTGTAAAATATAAGCAAGGCTGCTTTCAGAGGTGCCTGTGGATCACCACAGCCTAGTGATATTCTAATGTTTCTATTTCAAACCATGAGAACTATCTCTTCAGATTTAAATATTTTATACCTTATTTGAAATTTTTCATTTAAACTGCTTGCGAGACTATATATAACCTTGAAATATAATGTACTGCCTATATTTAGAATCTGTTATAGTTGCCACTTTAAATTATTCTTAGAATGAAGCATTATCAGGTTAACACCTACATATACTTAAGGGCAGGTATTGAGGCAATAGAGAAGGAATGTGATTAGACTATGACTTGTATGAAAAAGTAAAAGAATGAAAAATAGGAAGTATACATTTAAGGGCAGTATATTAAGGTGCCTTATTGAGTACTTTGTTTTGGGTTTTGGGTTTTGGATTGTGGGTGTTGCTTGAGAGCTACTCTTTGAATTGCTGCTTAATTTGTATTTAGATTCTAATATATGTATGCATATGTGTGTGCATATATACATGTATGTACTTGGTATACTCTCACACATCAATGCATTTATTTTACTCATAATATTTTCATGATTTTTGGCAAGAATATTGATCAGGATATTTAGTCATACTTAAGAAAATTCAGTTTTAGCTTGGTTTTTCACAAAGTCAGAAATGATTAAAGTTGATTAAAGAAATTGATCTAAGTTTATGCAATAAAGTATAGGTTATAAGGGTTATAATTGCCACCGTTTTTAACTTTTTCCACTTTTCGTAAATTAAAAACCTCTTGGGTAACATACTCTCATATTTCTATATCCTTAATTATAAAATATTTCTTAATTATGTAAGAATGAATACACAAATAAGGAATTATTCATATTTCAGGAAGTATGCAGTAATTCCAATAACCACCCTTTACAAATATTTTTCACTGAGATGCTATGAGAAATAGAAAATTGTACAAATAAAATCCACAGAACTATGTTCCATAAGAATTTATCTTGTCCTCTCTACATCTATTTCTCATTATATGCTAAATGATGTAGATTGCCTCACCATATCACGGTCACGGTCACGGTGCTCCCGTTGTTCATTGATTTAGTCGAGCAGGCCCAGTAACATCTCCATCATGAGACTTGTTGTTACTGTGTTTGGCATATCAAATACATCACGGGTAGCTTTCCAGGCTCTGCTGTACGGGCGAGATACTCTCGGTAGCTTGCCCGGCTCTCAGAGAGGGGCGGAGGAATCGAACTTGGGTCGGCCATGTTGGCCACTTGTAAGGCAAACGCCCTACCGCTGTGCTATCGCTCCAGCCCACCATATAGTCATATTCATATTTTCTAATAGAAGGGAAGTATATTATTAATAGAATTATTTTGACTATCTTCATAAAAGAAATAAGACAAACTGGTGTAAGCAATCCGAGGGATATATTGACTTACATGAATAAATGTCTTGAAGTAATTACATTGAAAGCTTAGATAATTAGAATTCAACCCTAACCCTTGACTATTCTTTTAGTGGTTAAATCAGTTTAAGCTTCTTGTTATATTTTTTTTTAAAAAAAAAGTAGATGCCATGGGTCAGAGCGATTGCACAATAATTAGAGCCTTTGACTTACATGCTGCCAACCTGGGTTCAATCACCGACATATTATACATATGAATCTTTATTATACATATTAATTTAAAAAATTATTGATTAGCATATAATTTATCTTCAGAAACTAATTTCAGTAACTATTTTTATATGTTAAGAACAAAACTATTACAGATAATTAATTTTTTAAATATGCCTTTAAGGGTTAAAACCCATTGAAACCACTGAGATAAAGTTGTAACCTTATTTTGAGTTTTTTTCTGAGGAAGTTGCTTTTGTTACTTTGATGCACTTGAAAGTAAAATATTAGTTTTGTTAAGACTAGCATATTAGATACTTAAGAGATAGTACAGCTATCAGAGCTCTTGTTGTGCATGTGGCCAACCCAGTTTCATTCCCTGGCATCATCTGTTCTTCTCCTGAGCACTGCCAGGAGTGATTGCCAATCTCAGAGCCTGGAGTAAGGTCTGTGCACTACTACCTTTTAAATAAATAAATAAAATTAAGATTCAAGGAAAGTACTCTATTTACAGTGCAATCTATCTAGATCAACAACTCTGATTTTTTGGGTATTATCCAAAAGAGGAAGAGGGTTAGATTTAGCATACATATGTATCCAGATTTTGGTTTGGCATAATCTACAAAATTTTATGTAATCTACCTCATTTAATCCTACAAAAAAATCATTAAATAACTTGCCTGAGTTATAAAAGAATACATTATATTCTTATTTTTAATTCTACATCTTAATGACCGCAGTTAAAGAAAATACATTCGTTACTCTGACACCATTTGTTAAGATAGGATCTTGGAAAAGTGATACACCTGTATGAATTTTTTCATGTAGCAGTTATGAAATTATCTCAGTTTTCCCTGATTAATTAATGGTATTGGTAAGGTATAACTTTCAGTTTATCTGTTCCAGAAATTCTTTGTGTGCTCCTTAGTACTTGGTAATTCTTAGGTCCTAAATATTTAATAATGAAGAAAATATTCAAAGTCACTGTTCTCATTATAAAGTAATTATAATTTTTAGTTGCGTAATAGAAAATGTGATGTAATTATAAACTCACATTATATTACTTTATAAAATAAAATAATTTTATTAACATTATTTCTATTTGAACTGTTTTCTATATTTAAAATTGGGCTAGAGCAATAGCACAGCAGTAGGGCATTTGCCTTGCACGCAGCCAACATGGACGACCCGAGTTCGATTCTTCCGCCCCTCTTGGAGAGCCCGGCAAGCTCCTGAGAGTATCTCGCCCGCACGGCAGAGCCTGGCAAGCTCCCCATGACGTATTCGATATGCCAGACACAGTAACAACAAAGTCTCCAATGGAGATGTTACTGGACCCACTCGAGCAAATCGATGATCAACAGGAGGGCCTTATTTATTTATTTATTTATTTTATTTTATGTTTGCTAATACAAATCTGAGGGCTGGAGTGATAGCACAGCGGTAGGGTGTTCGCTTTACAAGCGGCCAACATGGCCGACCTGAGTTCGATTCCTCCGCCCCTCTCAGAGAGCCCTGCAAGCTACCGAGAGTATCTTGCCCGCACGGCAGGGCCTGGCAAACTCCCCATGACGCATTCAATATGCCAAACACAGTAACAACAAAGTCTCCAATGGAGACGTTACTGGGCCCGCTCGAGCAAATCGACGATCAACGGGAGGGCCTTTACCTTACCTTTAATACAAATCTGCATCTATATTTATTAATATAGAAGTTACATGAGGTGCTCTCATTATTTCATAAATATAATGTAACACATATTTAAGAAAAGTAAAATACAAAAAGAAGAAATTGGTAAATATTTAATATAAGTATAACAAGAAAAAATCTAAGTAATACATTTTATTTTTATTCATTTTTTTTTTTTTTGCTTTTTGGGGTCACACCCGGTTTTGCACAGGGGTTACTCCTGGTTCTGCATTCAGGAATTACTCCAGGCCATGCACAGGGGACCAAATGGGAATTGAACCCAGGTCGGCCGCGTGCAAGGCAAACGCCCTGCCTGCTGCGCTATCCCTCCAGCCCCATCTAAGTAATACATTTTAGAAGTGAAATATGTCACAAAACTCTGCTCATAGTTTTGTGTGATATTAAGAGTTACTATTACTCTCAGAGGGTTTATAATCAACCTTTAGTGATTTCCTGAGTTTATAATATACTTAATAAGAATCTGTCATAAAAGAGCATTTTAGTCCTCTTTTCTGTGATATATCTATTATTTCATGATAATTGCCTATGCTGTATATATTTTGAAGCCTATATGTAATAAGTTCTGAGATCTCATTTTGGAATTGGATGATGAAAAGTCCTTTTTTGCTATAGTATATACAATTCTGAATGGACAATTTGCTCAACAATGACCAGTGAATAAGGAAGATTATATAAATCCCTACCTAAAATTAGAATATTAGAGATAGTATTAACAAAACTTTATGTCAAACTTTAACAAAGCATTAACAAAATTTATGTCAAATACTCAAAAAATTGACCATGGGGAATTTGCCAGTTATAGATCATTCAAAATAATATTTTGTTGCATATAGTGGGTGAGGTACAGTGGGTGTCACTGACTCATAATTAATCAATATTTTTTTAAATTCCTAGGTTTAAAATTAATTCAACTTAGTTTAATGTTATCTTGGAAAATAGATATGCTGTTTCTACTATTTGCTAGTCAAAGTTAGCAATGCACTGTAGCACTGTCCTCCCATTGTTCATTGATTTGCTCAAGTGGGCACCAGTAACGTCTCCATTGTGAGACTTGTTACTGTTTTTTGCATATCGAATACGTCACGGGGAGCTTGCTAGGTTCTGCCATGCGGGTGGGATACTCTTGGTAGCTTGCCGGACTCTCTGAGAGGGATGTGGAATCGAACTGGGGTTGGCCGGTTGCAAGGCAAACACCCTACCTGGTGTGCTATCGCTCCAGCGATTTTAAAGGTAAAATTGAACAAATTTTATCTTTGTTAAAATATTCCTAAGTTGTCTAGAAATCTTATGATTTGTTAATATATTTAATAATTCATTACCAATAAAATATATCAAATATATTCTTATGTTTATCTCACAAAGTGGGATAATGACTACACTTAAGTTGTCAAGAGTAGACTGAATCATTTCCTCATTTTATTTCAAGTTTATACAGAATAATTGTAATTGTACTAATACATTAAAAAATGTTTTGATTCCATAAAAACTGAATAAAAATAGAGTTCTTGTTAGTTTTTTTAAAACAAGCTTTCCAATTTTAAAAAGTAATATTAGAGGGGCTGGAGTGATAGCATAGCAGATAGGGCATTTGCCTTGCACGGAGCCAACCCAGATTCAATTCTCAGCATCCGATATGTTCCCCTGAGCACCGCCAGGGGTAATTCCTGAGTGCAGAGCCAGTGCAATCCTGTTGTGACTCCCCCCCCCCCCCGCAAAAAAAAAAGCAAAAAAAAAGTAATATTTGAAACAAGATATTTTATATAATCATTTCCTTCCAAAATGAGTGGGCTTCAACATAGAGTACAATTTGAAAAAAAATTGTCATTTTCTTTTCCTCATATTAGACCCTGTGATGGGCTGGAGCGATAGCACAGTGGGTGGGGCATTTGCCTTGCATGCAGCCAACATGGCCGACCCAAGTTTGATTCCTCCGCCCCTCTTGAAAAGCCTGGCAAGCTGCCGAGAGTATCTTGCCCACACAGCAAAGCCTGGCAAGCTACCCGTGAAGTATTTGATATGCCAAACACAATAACAAGTCTCACAATGTTTCTGGGCCCACTCGAGCAAATCGATGAACAATGGGAGGAAAGTAAAGTAAGTAAGTAAGACCCTGTGATAGAATAATGGCGGAGGGAACAGGAGAGACTTCATTCCAGTATATCTGGGTCTGGTCGATACACATTGGCAAAAAGGAACACATCTGTCAAAGATTCAGGATGTGCAATAGTAATAAGAGGACTCAGCACATGTCCTGATTGTTCAAGCTATCCTGTCAATTTTCTTAAGGATGACATGTCTGCAGTCTTTTGTGGGGAACAACTGAATACCTTACTAACTCTTTCAAGTAAACTTGTATTGCTGTACCAGAAACAACTATCATTTAAAGATATATAATTTTAAAAATGTTGGTATTTTCTACTTATTTCAGAAAATATCGGTTGAAGTCATAAAGTCCTACTACAAAGGAATATTTCATTTTGATGTTCTGGATTATAAATGTCACTGATATCTAGATGTGTTCATGGAAGGTTAGATAATACTTTGAGGAAGAGATAATATTAAATCTGAAGCTTTGAGGAATATGTGTATCTGAATAACTCATTAAAAAGTGTAACTCAATATACTTGAGAAGTAATATTTTTTTATAAAGTTGAATGAGAGTGCTTTAGAGAGGATACAATAACTCTGTTTACTCTCTCCACAATTAAATGAAAACTACTATTGAGTTTGCCCTCTTCTTGTCTTTAGTAATGAGAAGTAGTAGATTACTGGGCAAAATTTCACACAGCAAAAAAATTGTCCAGCATTTTGTGAATGTAATTTTGTAATACATACTTTTGACTAGACATGGCTAAAGAATGAATCTCTAAGATTTAGCTCTTAGAAAACTCAAAAAAGAATATAGAAGAACTATGAACAACTATAAATGATGCAATGTGCATATAGTAGAAAACTGAAGGTGAAAAAGGATCAAAAGAGATATCTGACAAAATAAAATAAAGAATATTCACGTTAGTGTCAGACACTGAATTACAGATGTGAGAATTCAGAGACCACCAAGCAAGATAACTTCTTAAAATCACACTTGAGAATCTCATATTCAAATTACAAGAAAATCTAAAGGAAGAGAAGTGCTATACATAAAAACACATTCCAATAGAAATAAAGATAAATTACATTTGAATCTAAGAAACTATACACTCAAGAATAGAGTGGAGGGAAATATTCAAAGTGTTAATAGGAAAAAATGTACCAAATGCTGTATAATGATTATCCTTCAAAATGAGAACACTGTACCACTGTTGTTCAGTTGTTCATTGATTTCCTCGAGCGGGCACCAGTAACGTCTCCATTATGACGTTGGCATATTGAATACGTCACGGGGAGCTTGCCAGGCTTTGCCATATGGGCGGGATACTCTTGACAGCTTGCCGGGCTCTAGACCAAGAGGGACGGAGGAATCGAACCCAGTTTGGCCACATGCAAGGCAAATGTCCTACCTGCTGTGCTATTGATCCAACACCTGCTATTGCTCCAGCCCTGTATAGATCCAGGTTTCAAGAAATATAAAAATGTTTTAGAAAAAGTGGAATATTTAAGAAATGTTTATCTGCATACAGAAAGAAAGGAAATGGGGTTAGAAATAAGTGATGGTAAATTTTTTAAAGTTTACTTTTCTTTTATAATTAGTCTAATAATAGTTTATTGAATATAATAGTATCTATCAAATATATAATGCCTATTTGCATATATACACTAATGTATGCTTATGGAAGGAGAATTAGGATTTTTGCTATTATAAAGTAATAAAATTACCTTATATGAAGTAATTAATTTAATTAATTACCTTAATGCCCCTCTCAGAGAGCCTGGCAAGCTACCCAGAGTATCTTGCCTGCATGGCAAAGCCTGGCAAGCTACCCGTGACGTATTTGATATGCCAAACACAGTAACAACAAGTTTCACAAGGGAGACGTTACTGGGTCCACTCAAGCAAACTGATGAACAATGGGAGGACAGTGCTAATTACCTTAACTTATTAAGAAATAAACTGTTATTTGAATTTATATTCTAGTTAACTGTAAATATACATACATAACTCAAGGGAAACCATTAAATAAATTTTAGAGAATGTTTAACCAATTTTCTAAGAAAGGAAAGAAAACAGAAATATATGACAAGAAATTAATATGAAAAAAATGAGAAAAAAGATAATGGAAGAAATGGAACCAAGAACAAGAACAACAAATAGAAAACTAGTAAGAAATGTGTACATCCTAATGCAAAATATCAGTAATCACTTTGATCATCAGTAGTACAAGGCTACCTGTTTACAAACGGTGTAAAACAAAAGTGCCTTTATTCTGTTTACAAAAACCTCCTAAATATATAAAGACACATACAGATGAAAAATAAATCAAGTGAGGGCTGGAGAGAGAACAGAGTTTAAGGTGCTTGCCTTGAACACAGTCAAACTTGGGTCGGGGCTGGAGCAATAGCACAGTGGGTAGGGCTTACACGTAGCCAACATGGCCGATCCAGGTTCGATTCCCAGCATCCCATATGGTCCCCCGAGCACCGCCAGATGTAATTCCTGAGTGCATGAGCCAGGAGTAACCCCTAAGTATTGCCGGGTGTGCCCCAAAAAAAGCAAAAAAAAAAAAAAACTTGGGTCAATAAGTAGGATCACATATGGTTCCCCCAGGCACTTTCAGGAACAGTGATGGGTATAACACAAACACCCTCCCCTGCAAAAAAAAACCAAAAAAAAAGCAGAAAAACCCCTTATGTGTAGAGAGCTATATTATGTAATAATTAAAAGAAAACTTGTATAGATATATTATTGCACTGTAAACTTAGAGAAAATTCGTAGTAAGGCACCAGTACTCCAAGAAGATATCACAACATTGCACAACATTGTAATGTTTTCTTGCTGTCGATCCTAGTGATTTTTTTTCAGTGATTTAAACATTATAATTTCCTGAAAAGCATTTCTGCCTTATTGTTATATATGCTGTTTATTTAACATTTAATTTCTGTATCACCAATCTCTATTTATTAGGTTGTGAACTTCTGGTATTGGGACTTTCCATTACAGAGACATACTGCTTATTTTCACAAAAATTCATTTCTCCTGAAATATTCATTGTTTGTTTTTGGCAGTTGGGTAACCACTAGAGATTATTACCTAACCAGATTCATTTTTAAGATAAATCTGTTTTTTCGACTATGATTTTGTTATGTTTGGAAGTGACAGAATAATTTCTTCTGCTTCAAGTGCTTTAATGGTAATTGCAACCCTTTGTTTTTGTGTCTTTCTTTTCTCTTGTGCTGAGATGCATCAATTATGAGAGTCAGTAATTGACAGTCTCTCTTAGTATGGTGAGGCAAGATTGAACTACTTTATTAGTGTATCTGTTATACTAAAATTAAACGGGAAACATGGAAAAGAACTATTTAATTTTGTATTATTTAAATCATTATAAGCTTTATTTTTTTACTACATTTTACACTAATTTGTGTATCATCAATGAAAATATTTTAATGATGACATAAACAGATATAAATCACAAAAAAAATCTAAGAAGTTGAAGCATTTCTTTCTTTGGGTAGTTTTGTATTACTTCTGCTATAATAATAATTGTAACAGCAAATGTTATATCTGGTTCCTTAAAATTTTAATTCAATTTTATTGTGCTACTTATCATCCAGAATGAGTTTTATTGAGTTTTGATAAAACGTTCCCATCATATAGGATGAGTTTACTTAGTCTCACAAAAAAACATTTATCTGAAGACTGGATACAGTGCTCAGGGAGATGGCTCGTTGGTCAAGAATACACATCTAGTATGACTGCATCACTGGTCTGAGCACTGAATAATCCAGTACTGTTGGCCAAGCATAACAGTGTGTGGACCAAAAGTCTCCTCAGCACTATTTGGGCTCTCCTATAGAATTTTATCTAATACTCTTTCTGCATTTATGTATAGGATCATATATTCTTATTCATTAATACTGAGAATTATGGTTCTTGATCATAGTGCTACTATATTATGGAATTATTTTTTATATTTATAATATCATTATCTATCTTCAAAAGTAATATTTGTTTTTAGATCTCTTTAAAGCATCCTACTTCCAGTATAATGTTAAATTGATTAAGTGAGATAAAACATCTTATCATATTTTCTTATTTAGAGGGGAAATATTTAGTATTTTACTATTAATTGTGATATTAATTTATTGATGACATTTAGCAAGTAATATTGAATGATTAATTTAACAAAAATATAATTAATAATCAGTTAATTTTTAGTATAACTAATTGAAAATTAAAAATTGCATCACATATTTTCAATAAATATTTCCAATGACAGTGCTGATAGAAATTAATTTTCCTAAAAAGATATAAAAACTATTTTTGTTGGAGAGAAAGCGCTTTAGCACTGTCCTTCTATTGTTCATCGATTTGCTGGAGTGGGCACCAGTAACGTCTCTATTGTGAGACGACTTGTTACTGTTTTTGGCATATTGAATATGCCAGGAGGAACTTGCCAGGCTCTGCTGTGCAGGCGGAATACTCTTGGTAGCTTGCCTGGCTCTCTGAGAGGGATAGAGGAATTGAACCTGTGTTGGCCGCATGCAAGGCAAATGCCCTACTCACTGTAGGACTCTCTTAGGGTTGGATAGGAAAAATTAAAGAATTCATTCTTGTAATATATACTGCTATAAGTACTTCATCCCCTGAAGGATACTGATGAGCAAACATTATTGCCTAATCTTTTCTAGTAATAATGTAAAAGTCCATATATTATTAAATTTACCATGTTTTAATGATATTAATGAACTGGTGTCATTTCATACTTTTGGGGGCAAAAACCTAAATGACAGTTTACTGCTTTTTAATATTTAGTTCGTTTCTGAATAAAAGAAAGCATAAATGTATGACTGATTATAAAGCAAAATGGATTTGCATACACAAAGGATATGATAATCAACTCTTTGTTCAGTCTGAAACAAATATACAAGGAAAATATTTACGTTGGAAACGTGTAAGTATGTCTAACTTTTTAGAAATCTTTTTAAAATTCTATATTGAGAATTTATGTAGTATTATTAAGAATCACTTCAATCTCTTTTAAGTACCTTCCACATTTTTTAACGTTATTTTTTCTTAAATTACTGTGAGATACAGTTACAAAACTTTCATGACAGGGTTTCAGTCACACAATGTCAACACCTATCCCTCCTTCCACCAGTGTACATTTCCCACCATCAATATTCCCCATTTCCCTCCTGCAACCACCACCCTCAACCTACCTAGGTAGCAGTAGCAAGAACTTTCTCTCTCTCTCTCTCTCTCTCTCTCTCTCTCTCTCTCTCTCTCTCTCTCTCTCTCCCTCTCTCTCGCTCTCACTCTCCTTCTTTTTCCTTCTCCCTCTCTCTCTGTCTCCCTCTCCCTCCCCCCCCCATGCCTTTGTCTGATTTTTATATCAAGGTGATTTTTGTCTCATAGAAACTGTTTGGAAGTGTTTCTGTTTCTTCAGTTTCCTGAAAAAGCTTGAACTGAATTGAGAGTAGATCCTCTTTCAGGGTGTGCAAGAATTCACTGGTGAATCCATCTGTGCCAGGGCTTTTGTTTTACGGGAAACCTGAAACCTTTGATTGATATTTTATTTTCATTGATAGTGATAGTTCTGTTGAGGTATTTCAAATCTTCTTGGGTCAGCCTTAGGAGATTATAGGAGGTCAGGAATTTATCCATTTTTTGAGGTTTTCTTGTTTCATAGCAAGAAGATTCTCAAAGTAATCTCTGATGATCCTTTGAATTTCTGTGGTTTCTGTTGTGATGTTCCTGCTTTCATTTCTGATTCTGTTTATTAAGATTCTTTCTCTCTCTATTTGTAAATCTCGCTATTGGTTTATTGATCTTGTTTATTTTCCTGAAAAAAACAGCTCTTGGTTTCATTGATTTTTCAGATTGTTTTTTGGGCTTCCAACTCATTAATTTCTGGGATTAGAGATTTTAAAGGTATTCTGTGAGGGGTATTTCTGGGAGTGAAATGAGTGTACAGACTTCCCTTTGTGGGGGGACTGGACTTCAGGTTGGGAGAGAGTGAAGAGTCTACCACTGGTCCGCACACCTGAGTTTAAATGTTAGATCAACAGATTAGGGGTGGTACCTGACGGGGACGGCAGTTCCGGGGTCAAATGCTGAAGATCCAGCCTTCCCTTTGTGTGGGTCTTCCACTATATTTTAAAATTTTACAGAAAACTTTTCTTAAATAAGGGAAATCATATAAATACTACAAATATAATTTTTGTGTTGCATTAACGACAGATACCTCATTATTTTATCATTTATTGCATATATGGTTTGTTTTAATGTCCTAATTATTGATGGTAGTATAAAATTTTTAGTCAGACAATAGAAATAGTTTATTAAAAATAGTCAATTCTTATTGTAGCAATGGGCTGGAGCGATAGCACAGCAGGTAGGGTGTTCGCCTTACAAGCGGCCAACATGGCCGACCCGAGTTCGATTCCTCTGCCCCTCTCGGAGAGCCTGGCAAGCTACCCGAGAGTATTCGATATGCCAAACACAGTAACAACAAAGTCTCCAATGGAGATGTTACTGGGCCCGCTCGAGCAATTGTAGCAATATTTATTCAGTGTATTGTGCTAATAATTCAGTTTTGAAGACATAATGGAAATAGAAATTACATTTATTACATGCCTACTATGTACCAGGTATTGTGCTAGTTATTTTGCATGTGGAATGTAATTTGCTTTTCACCACAATTTAAAGTGGAGATTTTGAATTTTGTTTGGTTTTATTTTTTGTCTGGGAGTCTCAGCTGGCTATACTCAGGTCTTACTCTTGGCCCTGTGCTCAGGGATTACTCCTGGCAAAGCTAAGGTTACCATAAAGGGGCCCAGGGTATCAAACCTGGGCCAGTCACATGCAAGACAAGCACTTTACCCAGTGTATTGTCTTTCTGGCCCCAGAAAAATTATTAATGCCATTTTTATGTCAAATTTATATAAATAATAATAAATAGGGTGATTAATGTGCAGAGGAGATAGTTAATTTCCACCAGTCACAGAAGTGACAGTCCATAAACTTCACATCTTTTGACTCCGCAGTTTCTTCTTTCATATTTTTAAAGGGTTTTAAAAGCCTCTGAGTACTCTATTTAGAGTTTTTAAAGCTTTAAATATTGCATTCAACATAGAATAAAACAAAAATTCTTACACCAGCTTTAACCATTACCAACATACAGCAATCTTATCTCATCTATATATCCCTCTCAGTAATTAGAAATAACACTCCCTCTTTGCTTTGATCAGGTGTCATATCATTTTACTCATTCAGCTATTCTGTCTTTACTGTTTCATCTAACACTGTGCCAGATGTCATTCTATATTTTATAATGAAGAAACATTGCATTTTAATAGGATACAAGTTTCATACAAACACAAGTGTATCATTGAAAATCATCTTCTGTGGGTGCTGGGGCCAAGAGGGCCGAAAACAAACAGTTCCATGAGAGTGCCTGTGGCATCAACACAAAGAAGCATAACAACTGAGTGGAGCACAGCATCCCCTAAGGGCTCTCACTAGAAACTTCACTGGAGGGAACAGCTATCACCTGAGGGAGACTTAACACAAGGAAGACAAAACTGTGGACCTTCAAAGTTAAGGAGTGCTGGGGGCCATGGGGGAAGGGTGAAAAGAAGGGATTGAAAAAGATTCCACATGTTCTGCAAGGCAAGTTTGTATATACAGAAAATGCCAAGTATATTCAGGAAGAGCTGAGCAGTAAGAACCTACAGAATATTATTTTTTATAACAACAGCGCAGGAGGAAGAGAGCGGCTTGGAACGCCTTCAAGAACATCGAAGAAATAGCTAAGAGGACGAAGAACCTCCAGCTCCGGGCACATCTCTTTGATTCCACTGTTCTTCCTGCATTAACATATGCCTCAGAGACCTGGGCCCTACGCAGACAGGATGAGAAACAGGTCTCCCAAAGAGGAACTGAAAGAGCTATGCTTGGAATATCACGTTTCACTCAAATGAGAGAAAGAATCTGGAGTTCCAACATCCATCGACGATCAAGAATCAGGGACGCTGTCTCGTTTGCCAAGGTGTCGAAAATCAGATGGGCTGGTCACGTAATGAGATTTAAAGATGACCGCTGGACTAGAGCTGTTACCGACTGGATTCCACGGGATGTCAAAAGACCGCGTGGCTGCCCACCTACCAGATGGTCAGACTTCTTCGTCAAGATCATGAACAATCGGTTTGAGGCCCTTCATGTTCCCGGAGCGAGCAGATGCCATTGGGCTACGCTAGCACGTGACAGGGACAAATGGAGACGTTACTGGCGCCCGCTCGAGCAAATTGAGGACTAACGGGAAGTTAAGTGATTAAGTGATTAAGTGTGATAACAACAGTCACTATGTCAAAAATGGAATCAGGTTCCAGCACAATACTTATGCCACTCCTGGCATAAGCAGGGAACTGCATTTCCAGAGATGAGCCTCTCCCAATAGTATTACAAACTTAGTCTGCCCCGAACACTCCAGTCCTGAGCTGATTTTGCACGACTCCTTACACCTTCCCCCCGCCCCCCCGCAACCATTCCCACTCCTCCCCATGAAATAGATAGCTGCTGAATGATTAGATTTCACAGGATTGATTTTTATGTTGGATGTCATCTCATAAATCATAGGGTCTCAGGACTCTTAAAACCAACAAAGGGTGATATGATCAGTAGACCCCAGGCTAGGAGCAGTTGTTCTAGAGAAGAACACTGCCAGCAGGATCTCAGCCTTTGCATCATTCAGCATGGGTGACATCCAGGGTCTGCCCCCAAAGGCTTACCATCTTGCCCTATCCTGACGCACATATAGTTTCTACTCAATGCTGACAGGACCTGTTCTTCAAGTTACAGTTACAAGAAAATCACACAGGCATTACTAACTCAGAACCAAATGGAAGCTTCCCCAAAGTGGTCACTTAATCTTTAGCCTGAGCTGGAGGCCACCTGGTAAAAAGAGTCCCAAAAGGCTCAGTTTTGTACCTGCATCCACCATGTGAGCAAAAGCCTAGGAACTGGCAGTACACACATTTTATGTATGTAGTCATCTCCAAACCATGACTGGGGGCAGCCATTTTCTGAGAAAGCAAGTGGATAATGCTCTCCTAGAGGACTGGTAGATAAGGAGTCATTCTGGAGGTGAGCCCCATTCATCAGGCTGTAGTTGAGAGCAGTCCTGAATTTGGTATTGGGAAATGAGAACACCACCCCCCGCCCCCCGCTGCTTGCTGGACTCTGAACAGCACTGATTCATTTCACAGAGTACTTGAAGTTTGTAATTCTACCCTTTTATCCCACAAAGAAATATGAAAAAGGGGGGTGGGATAAGAAGTTCAGCCACATGAACAGATGTCAGCAGAAGCCCAGGAAAGTCTTCAGGTGTGTGAGAACTTTTTCACATGGAAAGAGGACGACTTCAGAGCATAATCCTCTCAATATTTTATGAACTAAGATCACCACTGGAAAAGAAATTCAGTAATCTCAAAGAAAGATTAATGGGAAAACTTAAAGAACTCATTTAAACAGAAACGAGGAACCAAAGAATACAGTAGCAGTATTAATCAGAATGGAAGAAGTCAAAAATCAAGTCAAGTGACCTCAAAGATAAGCATATGGCATTATCAGTAAAGAAGAGTTAGTTGAAAGATATTTTAAAGGATTGAATAAAATTTAAGTTAGTTGATGAACAATAGCAAAAGTAACAACCTGTGGACCATAGGAATTCTAGAAAGAGAAGAGGGAAGAATTGGTGGAAAGAAAAGCTGAGAACTTTTTCAGTCTAAGGAGTGAGGCATGTTTGGGGATTCAGGAGGCATGATGATCACTGATGTTTGTAGCAGGGTATATCATAAGTGGCAGTTTCTAACTTGAAGTATGTTGCTACTATCCCAATTTTGTTGAGTGATTTTATTTTCTCAGTAATAGGTGTTAAGCTTGGTTCTATCATAGA